CATGCCCTGGGCGTTTGGGACTTGATCAGGTAGGGATGTTACCATTGCTCCATAAGACCTTTCCTGGAAAATTGAATGTAGTCTGTAATTGGTCCTTTTATTGTGGCCTCAATGAGCTTGTTTGCTGCTTTAACAGCCTGGTTTGCCACCTGTATGTTTTCCTCCTCTGTGCAAAATAGTGAAGGGTAGAAATAAAGGTGAGATCTCCAGCCTCACTGCTTGGTGGTCATTTTGTATGCCATCCTGCCGCCATTTCATCCTGACCCAGGATGAGAAAATTACAGTCCTTGTGTTGAAAGTCTGGGATTAGTAATTGCTTTTTAATACTTTAGCCACCTGTCCAGTTATACTTTTAAAAAAAGCATGAAAGACCTGGGGATTACTTTTGATCAGGTCATCGAAGACATCTTGAGTGGGCCAGATTTTCAGTGTTACGGGAACTCTGTGAACCTTTAAAATGTTGAATAGTGTAAGAGCATACCCCTTGACTGGGGACAAAAACTCAGGAGGCTGGCAGGATTCAGGCAAGTGGAAGATGTTTATTCAAGCAGAAACCGGTTGATGCGGGGAAAGGGCCAAAGAATTTCCCCAAATCAAAAGGGAGATCAATGACACACTCTGATTTTTACAGTGAAAATACAGCATTTTATACACTTTGTTATAATGATCAAATACAGTGTAGTCACTGCCCTTCCCTCTTAATCCGTTCACCCAATCCCATGCTCACCTAATCAATGAAGGAAATTCCTATGGATGGCCCCAGATTCCAATTGTCTTATGGCGTTTATAATCTCTAGGCCTTGGGATCTTTCTATGTATCCTATTCATTCACATTCCAAAAGCTTATTGGCTACACTCCTTCAGATCTGTCTCAGGCTTCTTATCTCTCAGGACCGTGTGAGTTCTGTTATTCATTGTACTACGTGTGCTTTATTTTATCAAATTCAGCCATTCTTTTAATACTTCACACTGTCCCAATTACATAATATTAAAAAAAAAGTTACTTTTAACTAATTACTATAAGGTTAATTTCTGTTATAAAGTTAATTATAAAGTATAACGTTACACAACTGCTTCTACTGTTAGCATTTTGTAATTTATGGGTTGTGAGCAATCTGTCTTGTTCAGGGCATAAGAAGGCATCTCCTAAGGCTAATTAACCGTCACATCTAGGTTTAAATTTTATTTTAATGCTTATATTATAGTTTGGTTATATATTGAAACCAACTTCTATGATTAAAGTATTTTTAATTAGAACCTATTTAATATTGCAGGTAGCTTCAAAGCAGCAACTATTTACTTCAAAATAATTTTAGCTGTTGTCCTTGCAGCTGCTTAGGGACTTAATCTAGCACCTGATGTTATTTATTTACTGGGACAATCATCCTTTCATTAATAAGTCTAGAATTGGTTATTTATCTGTCCTAAGGCATCCCTTTGTCAGAACTGTCTTGGATGCGAACGTACAGCATTCTTTTACTGACCTTCTAGCAGATTTGTTCAAAGATACAATTGTATTTTACTGTGTGAGCATGCTGCTTAGTTTTGCTTAGCTTCTGTCTGCCATCTTGTAAGCAGGCATGGGCTGCTTAGTGTGGTTAGGTACAAGTCACCTTACATGGCCAGGTACAGGTCACCCCTACAAGGGGGACCCCAGATCCGGACATCTGTTCCCATTTCTAACAGATTCAGGTTTGCCAGACGGGCAAGGAGGTAGGATTCACACATGGCTGAAATACAAAATGCAGTAGTCCATTTTAACTCATTGCTAAATTCAAATAGAGTAGGGTCTCCACCCACTGTGTGACAGTCAGGATTATTTATGTTCTACTTAAGTATTTATGAAGGGTGGAAAAGGTTTGTGGAATTGTCAAGCTGTCACGTTATTTACAACCCAACCACTGAAGACTGAAGTACTAACATTTCACCTATGTCAGTATGTAGTAAAGAAAAATTCAAACTGTGAGGTTAGTTAAATTTAAAATTACAACATAGGCTGCCTGCATCAATGAGGGGTTTAGAAAGTACTGTCTAGCAGTTACAATAGCTATTTGTTGACATTTGCCCAAGGGCTATCATTATGTCATTGTTAATGCTTGCTTGCTTTTCACAACTAATTACCTCAGCTGGAGTCCTTGTTCACAGTTTGATGGTCAGCTAAAATAAGTTATTAAAGGGTTAGCTGTCTTTGAAGTGGGGTTATGAAGTCTGTTGCTTTTATAAGGGAGTAAGTACTTGAGGAATTTTAAAAGTTTTGAACCAGCTTTCATGAATGAGTTTGTGTTGTATTATAGTAAAGGCTGTAACAGATATTTAGACTTTATTTTGTTTCGTCTCAACATGACGCCTGAGGTCTGCTTGTAATAGCTAATGGGTGATTTGGCATGGAGAGTATATGGGCCTTAGGGGAGATATGTGTTAGCAGTAAGTTGGCACAAAGGCTAAAAATGACTTGGTGGTGATATTGTGCATAGTTCAACAGGAATTGGATTTAAGTTGGCATGGGGACTATAGGAAGCATGGGTTTGGCTGGGGTTCATGAGTTGGCATGAAGTTGGCATGGGATGGCTTGGGGGCAGAAGTTGACATGGAGGATATAAGGAACCTTGAATTACTGACCTCTAAAATGGAAATCTGGCCCATGAGCTATACTGACTGACCTATTGAATATTGCCACAATTTTCCGTTTTCATTTCGGATATCCAGCAGTTATCTTATTTTGTTTCTGCATTGGTATGAATGTCAAAATTGATTCAATTACTGATATATCCATATAGCTGGTATTCAATGAGGACATAGATTCAGCTGATGTAATCTTTTCTGTGATTGATACTACTATGAAGATATGTTTTGCTCCTTTGAAACCTCTGGGGCTATTGTAGAATTATTGAGGAAGTTGCAGATAGTGCTATACCACTGAGGGTGGTATGGTATCTACGTATTTTCAGCTTTATTATAACTCAAGACATTGTCATTGTCTAGGAGCCAGTACAGAATGAGGTTATAGCTACTGTTCCAACTTCAGATTGTTAGGAACTGTGGAAACAGATTCAGCCACTGCTATAATTCTGCAGCTGTAACTGTAAGTAAACACAAGTGAATGGCAGAATGGACCATTGAGCCTGTTTCACCTTTCAATATAATCTTTGGCTTCAACTCAACTTTTTGTGCTCACTTTCCATCTCGCTCAATTCCCTAAGAGACCAAAATGTGTAAATAAATACACCTAGGAAGATATGAAATGTGGAGAAAGCTTCAGCAAATGCTGTGACCTTTGAGCTGACATGGAATATGGAAATTAGTTCACATACTCTTAAAACCTGAGAATTAGTGTGAAGATAAGTTGAGCTCTTTTTGATGCCCTTAAGCGTGTAAGGAACATGGAGACAGTTTTGCTTTTGCTACTACTGTTAAAAGCATGGAATTTAAAGATAGGTTTAGCTGCTTCTATGCCTCAACTCTGATAGAAGAAAATATCTGATAGAGTCAATTGCTGCTACACACATAGAGCTGGCATAAAATACTCTACATGGAGTAGATAAGTTAGCAATTATATGGCAAAACTAAGTTGTATTGAATGTGTTTAATTTCTTTTCATAGATATTCCCTTTTATTTTAACCCTGATTATATTGTCATCACTATTGGACCGAAGAAATCGTAAATTCTTTGCTGAAGTGAATTTAGCATAATATCATGCCTCCCCTACACTGCAGTGTGACGGAAAAGTGAAAACATGAAACCATAACAAATTCCATCGTAACATTCATGGTTTATGAACACAGGCTTATCTCATCTCTTCATACTTTAAAGTAACAGGAGATGATCTGATATCTTCAAGATTTTATCTGGCACTACATTGCCCATGTTTATAATTTAAGTTCCCTACTTTCAAAATTTAAGTATTTGTTAGATTCCATTTTTTAAACATTATTACAACCACAGCTAAAAGAGTGCCCCATCATTTAGTTCCGCTACTCCATGGATTGCAATAGAAAATAGGATTACTTTTTCTAGTTACTAAGATGGTCAAGTAAATACTATATCTACATCACATTTTAAACAAATAGACCATTTGGAGGAATGCACTGCAGTGTAGAAAGAAGCTCAATAATCTTCTCTACTGTGCAGGTGCAAGTGCCAACATCTTCTTTCCAATATCCCATCCTCTCATACTATATCCACCTCCCACCAAGGGTCATGCTCTACTACTGTCACTCAGGGCGGCACGGTGGTTCAGTGGTTAGCACTGCTGCCTCACAGCACCAGGGACCTGGGTTTGATTCCACCCTTGGGCGACTGTGTGGAGTTTGCACATTCTCCCTGTGTCTGTGTGGGTTTCCTCCGGGTGCTCCAGTTTCCTCCCACAGTCCAAAGATGTGCATGCTAGGTGGATTGGCCATGCTAAATTGCCTGTAGTGTTCAGGAATGTGTAGATTAAGTGGGTTGTAGTGGGGTGGGTCTGGGTGGGATGCTTTGAGGTTCGGTGTGGACTTGTTGGGCCGAAGGGCCTGTTTCCACACTGTAGGGATTCTATTCTATTCTACGAAGATCTGTAAAGCAGTTCTATAATTGTGTTTATTATTATTTTGTTTATTCAATAAAGACGCAATAATTGATTAATATACATAGTGAGTAATATCAAAGTACAAATACTTATCCCAAGATATACATAATTTTCAGGAAAAGAGAAAAAAGATTTCCCTGTGCAGCTTGGCTTTCTGACAAAGCAAAACACATTGTCTAATGGATTATTTTGAATGCAAAACAATCAAGTATAGCTTTGGAATCTGCTGCTCAGATGTTCTTGCACATGTAATCAAGTTACTCGTCACATACTAAATAAAAACTGAAAGAACTGCAGATGCTGAAAATCGGAAACAGAAGCAAAAATTGCTGGAATAGCTCAACAGGTCTGGCAGCATCTGTGAACAGAAATCAGAGTTAACGTTTTGGGTCTAGTTCTGAGGAAGGGTCACCGAACCCAAAACGTTAACTCTGATTTCTCTTCACCAGACCTGCTGAGCTTTTCCATCAATTTCTGTTTTTGTGCTTGTCACAAAAATTGTTATAGACTCAGCTCACTCAGGAAATATAATCTTGGAATGTTCTTTCAATCACTTTTTCAAAAGTACCAATAAATTTTTACCCTGAATTGCTGTAGAGGATTTTCTTTACAGAAATAGGCTGGATCAGTTGAGCAGATGGTTTATTGCAAGCTTTTGGCCTATTCAGCTGATTATTAGCAGGCTTTCCTCCAGCTCAGATAGTTTTAAACTTGCTTTCCGCCAACTTTGCTGATTCTTAGCAGGGTTTCCATAACACTGCTCGTTCTTAGCAGGCTTCCTCCAACTGAACTAGTTAAAAAAAACGTAAACAAGCCAGTCACTATTCAAAACAACCCCAGCATGTCCATACCAAAACAAACTGTTTTCATCGTTCATGACATTTCTAAGAAGCCTTGTTTAAAAAAAAACCATGTCCACAGCAAACAATCAATGGCTTCTTAAAGAAATTACTCCAGTGTGCTCACAAAACTTGAAATACATGCTTTTTTTCTGCAGTCTCTCAGAAAATAAATCTTCTTGGCAACATTAGATAGAAAGGATCTTTGTCATATATATCCAATTGTGTTATGTAAGCCAGCATTCTGTGAATGTTGTAACATTCAGGAAATAGGGGGTTTCTACCGTTGACTGTTTCAAATATTAGTTACATTCAGGCCTATCTAGGTATAAGGTTAGATGGGTTGCAAGCTTTTCAATAAGTCACTCAGAGCAATTCAAGAATTACTGAATTGACGGTTTTAGTTAGTTGGACAGAGGCAGTCAGGAGAATGTTGTTACCATCACACTGCTAGCTAGTTCAGGTTTAATGAAATGGTGCAGAGGTAGATGTGTGTCTTATTAGTGTATGTCCAGATACTGATGATGTTACAAATGAACAGCATGTAGGTGAGGAAGACAAAGGAGCCAAGTATATATTCTGATGGGTCTCCAGAGGAAAAGATGAGTGAGTGGAATGTGCAGCCATGATGGAATTGGCTTTGATATGATTGGATAGATAATAGTAGAATGGAGCTTAATAAAAAAGAGAGACTTTGATGAAGATGGCATGGTCAACTGTGTTAAAGGCTGCCCACAGCTTGAAGAAGACAAGAGAATGATAATGAAAAGGCCATGGGAACAAAAAATTGTAATTCCTCACTTATGGACACATTGTCATGTCTGGGAAGCAAAAAACATAGTCAAAAATATTGGAAAGGAAAGGGAGCTCGCAGATGAGTTGTAGTTAATAAGGATAAATGGATAAGGCATGTGCTGTTTTAGTGGGAGTAATAACTGTGGTTTGGGAAGGGAGGGGAACTGTACCTTGAGGACAGTAAGCCTCTTAACATATCAATTAATATGGAGCCAGGAAGGGGCATTGAGTTACTAGTAATTTACTGGGAATAGGGTTGAGGGAAAATGCGGAAGTTTGAATTATGGCACAGCTACATTAGTTTCTTTATATTTGTATCAGAAACTCAAGACAGACTGATTTTGGGAAGAAATTTAAATTACAGCATATTATTAAAGGGATGACAGACCCTTCATTAATAGGACCAATGGAAATATTTCTTTTGACCCCATACCCATCTTCTATTATTTACATTAAATGATAATGTTGAGCAATGCATGCTTGGAGCACCGAAACACTGAACACAGCCCATCTCAGAGCTATTTTAGTGAAAGTGGTCTCTCAGGGACTCCTCTTAATTAATCCCACTAATGTATGTAGGATGTCTGGTTTATTTTGGATTGTCAAACTTCTGCTGCTTCTAACATTCCATAGTAACCATCACACTTGGAATACCTTCTTCTTCTGATCATCTCCAAGGCCCGAATTTTCTGATTTGGATTAGAATCCCTATTTCCAACTCAGATCAGACAAAGAGCTGTCATTTTATCTTCCCTGGATTTTTCACGCCTGACTCCTGATGTAGTTCAGTGAACCAATGCAGACAGCATCAGAGTGAATCAGAGTCATAACCTCTTTTCTTCCACGATAGTTGCTATATTTCAGTAAGTGAAGTGTTTAAAGATTCCAAAGCCTAGTTGACAGCCACTGAGAGAAAGTAAGTGTATAAGGTAAGTGGGTGAGACGGTATGGTGGCTGGTTGGTTGGAAAGGAATGGGGTGGGTGGTTACAGAGGCATGGTAGCTGATGGGTAAAGTGGTAAGATGCCAGGGAGGTAAGGGAATAAGGTTTTAGGGGATGAGTGGGTGAGATAAAATTGATATGGGGAAATGAGTATGGTGACAGGTGGTTGAGGGAGTGGGGTAGCAGATTAATAAGGGAGTAGGCTGGCAGGTATGTGGGATGTACAGGTGACAATTGAATTAGTGAAAAGGTAGGATGGCATGTGGGTGATGAAATAAAGTGGCATATAAGTGTCTGAGGCGATAGGATGTCATTCAAGTGAGTGAGGGGTGTACGGTGGAAGGTCAGTGAGAGGGGTACAGGTGCCTGGCAAGTACATGAAAGTGCAGGATGGGTCACTTACTAGGGGTCGGATCAGGTGGTAGCATTTGGGTATTTGTGGAACGGGTTGGGTACCCTGCTGTCCAGTTGGGGGAACTAGGTATAGAACATAGAACATAGAAGAGTACAGCACAGTACGGGCCCTTCGGCCCATGATGTTGTGCCGAACTTTTACCCTAATCCCAAGGTCTATCTAACCTCCACCCCTACCTTATACTATCATCCATATGCCTATCTAATAGCCGCTTAAATGCCCCTAATGAGGCCGACTCCACTACCCTCTCCGGCAATGCATTCCACGTCCCGACCACTCTCTGAGTAAAGAACCTACCTCTGACGTTTCCCCTATATCTACCTCCACTCACTTTAAAACTATGTCCCTCGTAATAGCTACCTCCACCCTAGGGAAAAGTCTCTGGCTGTCCACTCTATCTATACCTCTGATCATTTTGTACACCTCTATCAAGTCACCTCTCATCCTTCATCGTTCTAAAGAGAAAAGCCCTAGCTCTCTCAACCTTTCCTCGTAAGACCTTCACTCCATTCCAGGCAACATCCTGGTAAATCTCCTCTGCACCTTTTTCAACGCTTCCACATCTTTCCTGTACTGAGGCAACCAGAACTGGACACAATAGTCCAGATGTGGCCGAACCAGGCTTTTGTATAGCTGGAGCATAACTTCACGACTCTTGAACTCAATCCCTCTATTAATGAAAGCTAACACACCATACGCCTTCTTAACAACTCTATCCACCTGGGTGGCAGCTTTCAGGGAACTGTGGACATGAACCCCAAGATCCCTCTGCTCTTCCACACTGCCAAGAATCTTTCCGTTAACCCTGTATTCTGCTTTCAAGTTTGTCCTTCCAAAATGAATCACTTCACACTTTTCAGGATTAAACCCCATCTGCCACTTCTCAGCCCAGCTCTGCATCCTATCAATGTCCCTTTGTAACCTAGAACAGCCCTCTGCACTATCCACAACTTGACCCACCTTCGTATGATCCGCGAACTTACTAATCCACCCTTCCACTCCTTCATCCAAATCACTTACAAAAATCACAAATAGAAGAGGACCCAGAACAGATCCTTGTAGTACACCACTCGTAACTGAGCACCATGTTGAATATTATCCGTCCACTACCATCCTTTGTCTTCTAAGGGTCAGCCAATTCTGAATCCAATCTGCCACATTTCCCCCTATCCCATGCCTCCTTACCTTCTGCATGAGCCTACCATGGGGAGCCTTATCAAATGCCTTACGTAAATCCATGTATACCACATCCACTGCTCTACCTTCAGCCACGTGTTTTGTCACCTCTTCAAAGAATTCAATAAGGTTTGTGAGGCATGATCTACCCCTCACAAATCCATGCTGACTATCACGAATCAAACTGTGCCTTTCCAAGTGATCATAAATCCTATCTCTCGGAGCCCTTTCCAATAATTTGCCCACCACTGACGTAAGACTAACTGGCCTGTAATTTCCGGGGTTATCCCTATTCCCTTTTTTGAACAAGGGAATGTCATTTGCCTCTCTCCAATCTTCTGGCACTATACCCGTGGACAGTGAGGATGAAAAGATCGTTGCCAAAGGCCCTGCGATCTCTTCCCTCGCTTCCCATAGAATCCTTAGATAAATCCCATCAGGCCCGGGGGACTTATCTATCTTCAAGTTCCTCAAAATTCCTAGTACATCTTCCTTACTAACATTGACCTCCTCTAGCCTACCAGCCTGTTTCACACTGTCCTCCTCTACAATTAGGTCCCTCTTAGTTGTGAATACTGAAGAAAAGTATTTATTAAAGTATGAGGGATTGTGGGTGGATATTGGGAGGAGGGTAAATTGATTCAGGTTTCAGTGTGTGGGGAATGGGTTCATGTGTGTGACTGGCATATGGAGATCAGTTTTCCAGTCAGCCAAGAGTCAGAGCAGGTTTTAGTTCAACTAACCTTTTCCTGGCTAACTATCAGGTAAGTAAGTTGGAACCCTCTGAAGTATCTGACTCTAACTTAGAATTTGGGATCTTTGTGGAGAGCTCTAGTTGTTGGGTAATTGTTAATTTAAAATTTAAACTCTCCTGGTAATTATCACCTGGTCAGTGCATCAGAAGTTCTGGGAGCCCTAATGCATACTTTTCAGTTTCCAACTACCTGGAGTTTGAAAGACCTGGTCCCTACATTCTGGAAAACGGGCCTGCTTAGAATAATGTGAACTTTCTCCTCCTATGGTCCAGGCATGCAATCTTAACCCTCAGATAACTGATGGACAAAAACTTAAGGACTGTGCCCATGCAATTTTCTTCCAGAGGAATCTGCATCACAGATGCCAGTTTTCAACTGATTTGATTCATGCCAGAAACGGCTGAAGGCTTTGGATGCTGCCAAGGCTACAGACCCTGACAGTATTTCAGCAAAAGTACTAAATACGTGTGCTCCTAGCTAAACTGTTCCAGCATAGCTCCAACACTGGCATCTACCTGACAATACGAAAACCTGACCAGTTATATCCTGTACACAAAAAGCAGGAAAAAAACCTAACCAGACCAAATACCACCCCATCAGTCTGCTATCAATCATCAGTAAAATGATGGAAGGTGTCATCAGTCGTGCTATTTGCAGCACTTGCTTAGCAATAATCTGTTCACTGATGCTCAGTTTGGGTCCTGTCAAGGCCACTCAACTCTTGACCTCATTACAGCCTTGGCTCAAACAAGAACTAAAGAGCTGAAATCAAAAGGGAAGGTGAAAGTCATTGGCCTTTACAGCAAGGCAGATTTTACAGAGTGTAGAATCAAGAAGTTCTTGTAAAGCTGGTGTCAATGGGAATCGA